TTTATTTTTTTTTTAGTGTTTTTTTTTCCTCATCTACTGAAAGGCTCTGGAAGCCCCTAGAACTGCAGACTCATTTAAATTGGCTTCACACCTTCTGTTTGGTTGTGAGTACATTAAACATTGCTGAAGGAAACGAACACAGCTCGGCAACAGGATGATTCCTAGATGCTGGAAGAATTCCCTTGAGGGCTGCTGGAAGCGCACGAGGCTTGGAGCATCCTGAGGATGTGGAGTGATACACAAGTGTGCTGTTCAACCATGTTTGTACCCTTATTTTCTCCTGAGTTAAAAGAAGTGCAGAGTGCTGGGTAAGATTCCATGATAGCAAGAAGGAACTGTGCTAGCCTCTCTTCGTGCCAAGTAAACAACTTTCATGCGTTTTAGAGGCTTTAGGTCCACCCTGAAAAACCCTGTAGGAAGTCCTACTCTCAAAAGAGTTTCTACTCTGTTCTGTTGACATCAAAGGCTTCTCCATTAATTTAATTTTCTCCTGCTGTTTGCAATAGTCCTTCTCTGCTCCCCATGCATTGAGTGTTTTTAATGTAAACATGCCCTGGCGATATTATGTTTAAATAAGTAAGAGACAAGTCAGGATATCTCAACAGTGTTGATATTGCATATTTAATTCAAAAGCTTGCATGTGCTTCTTAAAGTTTCTCTTCATACGTGCATGCCTTACTAGGAAGAACTGTGTTGCAGTTGGATTGTGAATCATTATCTAGAGCTGACTAAATATTGATGTGTTATAGCAGTTTATTTTTTAGCTGTTTGGGATGAATCCCCAGCCAGCGTAAATTGGCCCACATTTAAGGCAACAGAGTGAAGCTGATTTATACCAGCTGAGGCTGTGTCCTTATGCCCTGTTAGAAAGCTAAAACTATACCAAAATGAATAAGAACAGGGCAAGAATTATGAACCCAGGCAACACTTTTTACCTTTTTTTGAAAGAAAAAAATAATAATAATAAAGTGATTTCATTTCAAGACTAAAGCAAAGATTCAATAGTATTTAAAATGTATACAAATATCTCACAACTAGTATTTAGACTAAGAGGTAGATGTCATATTCTAGGAATAGTATGGTGTAGAATGATGCTAATGGCAGTTGCTAAATACATTTATTTGCCTGTTACACAGGACACAAAGGAGGGTGATAGCAATGGCAACCACAAGAAGGCTTACAAAAAAAATTCTTGTCTTCTTCTGCTATTCTATGTTATCTGTCTTTCGGTGCATTTCTTCTGGAAGGGCATGATGGAAAAGTGTCAAGAAGTAAAAAGATCTATAATACAAAACTTCATGTTTACAAAAAACATTAGCTTTATCATTAAAGGCATCCTCTGTACTGTAATGGAAGCATTTTGTACTTACAATTTAAGATTACCTGGCGTTACTGAGCAAGTAGTGGAAATTCCAGGTGAGGTGATTCTGCAAAATAGGGGTCAGAAGAATGCAGCTCTCTCTCTCTCTCTCTCTCTCTTTCTCTGTTGTTCATGCTAAAAATACCAGGGCATATGGCAGCATATTTCAGCATCTTAACATACTAGGCTCCCTTGAGGACAGAAAAAAAGATGAAACTTGTGCTATTGAGCCAGAAATAAGATTACAGAACAGCGTTGCCAGACAGTCAGAGTGCTGGCAGCAAAGCCATTACAGGAGTCAGTGTCTTACTTTGCCTAAAGGTGTTTCAGTGGTATATAATGGTGTTCCAAGAAATGGAAAGCAAAGCTGGTGAGAATGAGGAGCAGTATAAGCATTTTTTTTTATAAATCAGTTGTCATTGCAAGTAGAGGAATTACACATATTGCATTAGGATATCCACCAATTGTAGATGGACCTTCCACTTTTCCCTTGTGACTGTTAGGGGTCACCCCCTGCTTGAAATAATCAAAATGCATATTATAATTACATGGTTTTCCAATATCCATACACAGCAAGTACAAGATACTTACATGTAAGTACACTGTATTTACCTATATTTTTGCATAGTTTTTAGTGTGTACTTTGTGCCACTTAATAAAAAGCATTACTCATCATTTTTTTTTGTTGTTGGTGCTGTTTTTCTTTATTAGACAGCTTGTTCAATTAAAGTTGGAGTAGCTGGGATTTTTGGTATGTTCATCACAGATTACTAGTTCCTAGGAGTGTAGAGATTAGACATTTGGAGGAGTCTGGGTAAGCGGTGGGGGAAGCTGCAGCGTGAACATTAAAGTTTTAAATCACCTCCTTAATCAAGAAACGCAATATCAGATTCAATGGTGCTAATTTAATAAACTTACCTTTAATTCAAATGGAATTCTAAAGGTAAGAAGTCCGTTTTCCTTTTGGTAACACTTTACAATAAGTGGCACTAAATTACACTAGAACTGCTATGTTACAGGGAATTACATGTAACTACACTGTAACTGTTGAGAGAGCTACTGTACATGTGCGTACATGGTAACTTCAGTGCTGTTACAATCATGAATTACATAATTACAGATGATTCTGTCCTTTCTTTTCATTGAAATAGCTATATATATATATTTATATATATATTATACTGCAATGAAAACACACAAGATGTTAACTTTCATGTCTCACTTAGAAAAATTGGTTTTCTTCATGTGTTCCTTTAGAGAGGGAGTCTCAGTGCAAGAAGAACCATCCTTAAGTAACGTGGAAACTTTTTGAGATGTTCTAGCTTAAACTCTGAGCCTCAAGTTAAAACATCAGGTTCCTTAAACTGTCTCTTGGTTTGTCAGATGACACTAAAAGAGTGGGATGATGCACCCCTTGTCTTCTGATGCACCGCTTTCTCGTTCAAATCATGAGAATGTTCTTGAAGCATTAAAAAAAATAAAAAAGAAAAAAAAAAGTCTACATCAAAAAGTTTAAAAATAATCAGCAGTCGACACTGTAAACAGTACACTGGCAGAAACTAGCTACCTGGTCTGGAGAAAACTACTCTGCAAGTGAGTGAGGGAGAGGATGTCACATACATTTTAGTGAAGGTGGTTCCCATTCCAAGCCTCCATTTTACACACTCGCCAGGTGCCTCACACCATCATTAAAAACTTTGTCTTTTTTTGTTTTTTCCTTTTTCCAGAATGGGAACTTGGGCAAAAACAAATGCACAACTGGCTTTTAGCCTACTGAATGTCATTAGTGTTGAGCCATGATTCTGCTTACAGGAAAGAGGGATGCCTCTTTATACCCCGTGTAGTAATTTGAACCCGTGAAGACCAGATAAGCCTGCAAAGTGCTATCCAGGTAGAACGCTCTGTGTGGGGCTTTTCACACCTGCTGTGCACAGCTGCAAGGGACATCACCAGGTGCAAGACAATGGAAGATCAAATGGGTTAAAAATGAGCACATGTGAGGAGTTTTAATTGAAAGCCAATGAAAAAAAAAAAACCAAAAAACCCAAAACCAAACCTGTTTTAACAGTACAATTTAAATCTGCTTTTTTTTTGCCAAGTTGAAATGCTGTTTCTATGCCACTGGAGAATATGGTTTGAAATGGTTACCACAAGGCCAATCCTGCTTTTGGAGGTCCTACCTGACCTTGGCTGGGTAATGGTTCAAGTAACAACCCTATATTCAAGCGAGCTGGAGTTAGGAAGGATGAAGGAAGGCGCAAACACCACGCTGGTGGGGAATTCCACTTGAGCAAATAAGGCCCTCATCCAGGGAAGCACTTTGTTTTTAAGCATGTGAACAGTGCCTTATACTCCAAGGGAACTTCTCTGACGCCTGAAGCTGACTATGTACTTAAAAGCTTATTTGAAGTGGGCCCCAGGTCCTGAAATAAAACTCTGATACTGTACTATAGCTAATGTAACTTACTGCTGTGACAAGAACCCATATTTTTGGTATTAAACTGATCGACTTCCTTTGCCAGCCTTTTACATGTTTATGTTTTGAAAGACATGAATATCTTGTAAACCTATACTAGTTTTCAATGTGTCTAGTAGCACCTACCTGGTTCTCTCAAACTACCATATTATATTAACATATTATTGCATTTTTCCACAGATGGGTATGGAGTGAACTGTAAAAACAAGCATGCAATCACATCAATGCAGACTTATTTCTTTAAAATGTCATACTGTATATGATTTATTATGTTAACACTCAACCACATCATATTATTTATGTCTGTATATTTTGAAAAAAAGTGCTGCTTTGATTGACGTCACCCTTTTTTCTTAGAAATTAACAAGATAAATGCTTCAACAAAAACAATTAAAATACTCTAATATTGTCCTTAAAAGGTTTATATTCTTCTGATAAATAATCTGTCACAGCACCTTTATCTTCCATTTTACCATACCACATGATGTCGTATTCCAAATTCTCCCTTCCCCACACAAAAATAAAATCCCAGGAGAAAGTCCTTTACAGCAGACCATCATGCTTTTATGCTTCACAAATACATCAACCAGAGAGAAATACTTCTTTGTCAAAGGTGCAAAACACAGGAGCAAAGCGAGCTCCAACTAGACTAACTTGCATTCTCCAGTGTAGAATCATTCCCAAGACCTGTTATGGCAACCTTTTCTTTTCATTGGAAGAGGAAATAAGCCAATGGGCTTACAGTGTTTTGTTGTCATATTTAAGAGCATGTGATTTTTCAGCTGTCAATTACACAAAAAAAAATTCAGAAATAATCCAAACAGAGACCTTCACTGTGGAGCTAAAAGCATGGCAGGAATTCTCTATCATTCACGGTGACATAAGTTTGTACCTCACAAAATGCATAGACAGGAATTTAATATAAAGAATTAGTCCATTTACTGTATACACAAAACATATATCTTTTGTTTTAACACTTCTATTTTTTCTTTTTTTTTTTTCCTTTTTAAGTTTTTTTTTTAAAGTTTTTTTTTTTTTTTTTGGCAAACCAACATAGAGAAGCAGCTCTGGAACTGCCAAATTAAAAATTGAGAATTTTAGCAACTCAATAGTACTTTTTAAGGATAGTAATCAAATGTGGTTGTAATTTAAAACCTGAGGCTGTGCACTGGTTGTTAGCTTAAAACTACCTTTCCATATAACATTGTGCTTCCATTGTATAACAAAGAAAAAATTAACAAGAACTAGAAAAGTTTGCTGCTGAACAGTGCTAGGACATACAGACAAAAAAATACTCACACATGTTATCTACTCAGAATATTGATTTTGGGTCATATCTAAAGGGATATAATGGACATTAGAAAATGCATACTTGTGACTGACTTAGCTACTGCCAAAAAAGTTGAATATGTATCAAATAATGTTTAATTGAATTTATTATATGCACTATATACAGATACTAAAATGCCTTGCCATTGTGCCCCATGAAGACATCAAATTTGAGTAGGCAGGTGAGTTCATGTTTAGCAAATAAATTATAAAACATAAATTACTCAGGAAGTTCTCTAATCTTTGTGATCCCAAAAGCCAGTAAAAGGGCAGGACAAACTGTTTCAAAAGAAGCTCTATTACCTAACTTTGCAGACTCTGTATAGCTATTCAGCATGTTTTCACCACAGAAACATGGCACTGTTATCAAGGTACCATTTAAATCATAACAAAACAAAGCCAAACAAAACAAAAAATTCACTGGACTGATCTTTTTTTCCCACCAAATCCAAACATACAGGAAACTATACTAAACAGATTTCAATTTGTGTTTCCAAGGGTGTATGCTTCAAAAACAAGTTGCTTTTTGAATTATAGATAGACAGGTATAAAATACTCTTTGTAAACCTCTAATCTTAGACTTAACATTTTCTGTAAGTAAATTAGGACCTTACCTAATAGTACTTGTTACGAATTTTGTTCTATGACATACTAGTAGGGACATGATAAAACAAAACTGGAAAAGAAAGCTGCATTAACACTTAAATATGTAGAAAACTTGGATTAAGATGATGATTAACATTGTTAAGGCTGTATATTCAAGCACTGTATGTTAAGAGAGCAGTGGATATGATTTTTAGGCAATAAGAAATGTCCTGTTTTACGCATGATACCGTAATTATAGAATGATGATGTCAACAGCTGATTGTTGGCATAAACTGGCTACTTATAGCAGGTATGTGAGTTAATAAAGATAGCAGAAGATGGCAGAAATGAATTCTGAGAAATGATAGCCAGTTTTCTCCAGCAGTCAGCCTGATAAGTAAAACTCCAAGATTCTAGCTCTGCATCTAAATGAAGTACTCTTTTTTCTCCTCTGCATTGACTTGGCTGCCTTCTGCATTGATAATGGCTGTGTCGGCATCAGGTGCATCTTCAGCTCCTTTTGCTTCATTTGTTAAGTATGTTCCTGTAGGAATCAGTACAAGAGAAAAGAAAAAAAAAAGGAGAAAGATTAGGGTTGGTTTTTTACACTGCATTATAGGTAGTACATTTCAAACAATGTACTTCCATTTTATAAAGAATGGAAAATATTTTTACACAGTTTTTAGTACGCATCCTAAAGGTGTGCTCAACCTTCTAATTCATTAAGAAATATTTACACTGATATTTATACTGTTAAAGGCATATATACAAACTCTAGTATATCCATAACAAATTAAGGAAATATTTTAATAAAACTCCCCTTTATCTAACTGAAGTAATATGCAATTTATTTTTCAATTACAGAATGAGTGATAAAATCTTGGTTATTTCACGAAATAGCTATCCATCAAAAACAAAGCAATTTTGAATACAGATATTCATAAACATGCTTTTTTTAAAAAAAAAGATGGCCACTGATCATTTGTATTTCTGTTTTTTCTCGATCATATCTATGTTTTAATTTTACAGAATTGTATCATAGTAGATACAAGAATTACAAAATTGAGGCAGTTTTATTAACTGAACCAACTCATACCATCACAGCTATTTTTATATTTTGGATATGAATGAAAAAAAGAAATGTGTATCATAGTCAAATTTCTTTTTGTGAAAAACATTATTTATGCTGGCACAAAATGTACAACTGTTCATTCATGAAAGTAAAACAAAAGAGAAACACTTTGGCTCATTAAAAAAAAAATCTGATTTTCTCCCAGGTAGTCCAAAAAAACTGAAAATTGAAAAAAAAATTGAAAATATGTTTTTTATCAATTTATGTTTGCTATGTATATGATTATCTTATCTAAAATGAGAGTTACTGAATTAATACCAGCACTCATCTTTTTTTTTTCTTTTTTTTTTTTTTTTTGAGGGATGTGGAAGGAGAATCAACTGAGTTTTAGCAATAGACCTACAAGCTGTACAGAGGTTAAATCTCAAGGCATGTTTTTGGAACTAAGTAGGTCAAAATCAAATCACAGAGAAGCCGAAAGTCAGTGTCACTCCATTCCTGTTATCTTTAGTGGCAGAGGGGACTGAAAATGAAGGGACCAGGATTATTAAGGCAAAACCACAGAATAAAGTAAAGCTAGCCTCAGGAATGAACCCCTTATTCCAGTGGGATCATTGATAAACTGACATGAAAACTCACCATGGGTTTCTAATATTATCTTTTAGACATATATTATCTTGTAATATTAGCATAATCCATTGAAATGAAAAATCTTGTTCACTCAATGCATATATATTCTGCTGAGTTGATATGCTAGTTAAAACTATGAGAACATGATGGGAACATGTAAGCAAGTATCAGGAGTTAAGAGCCAAAACCAAGGGGCAATCTTACCCCTTGGTCTCTCTAAATCACTGACTTATAAGGTGACCTTGGGCAGGCACTAACCCCATGTCCTTTGCCTTAGCCCACTGGAAAACTGGTTAAAATTCACATTCTCACTGCACTGAGAACTATTTTTTGTTCCAATCATTTACCAGAGGGGGAAAGGCGAAAGGGAATGGCACTCCCAGGTGAAATCATGCCTTGCTTCCAAGAGTGACTGAACTTCCACTAAACGTGTCCTACCTTTATGTCTTGCCAGGTATCGACCAAGGAGAATTATAGAACATAGTGTTACAAAGACAACTACAGCCACTATTCCTCCTATAAGAGCGTGATCAGGTCCAGTCTGTCCAGCCAAAGCATTTGGATCTAGAGGGAGAGACAAAAGAGCAAAAAGTGGTCCTAGACAGAGAAAAAAAATGACAGGAAAATTCACAATACCAAGTTTTATACTGATCATCCTGAAAACAGGCATTTCCTTCTTTAATATTCAGCATGGTTATTCCCTCTTTTACTTCCAGTATCTTATCAACAACACAGTGCTGCTTGTATTCCCAGATTGTTAAAACCCTGAGGACATCGCAGTTATGAAAAATACTACCTTATTCTTCTTTGGCAGAGGTTATTAAATGGAAAAGGTTTCTAGCTTTGTCCTCGTCATTTTACAACTGAAAACCTGGCCATAGCTATTTATAGAAGGAAAAACAAGGAAGTGAGAATTGGGGATCGGATAGCATCAGCAGAATACTGTCTGCATAATACATAATTTATAGAATTGATTCTCAGTGGGGAACCCTTATATGTTCTCTTCCTCTCATTCCTACCCTCTTGCACCAGAAATAAAAAGGCAGATAAAGTGCAGCCATGCCAAGTTCCTCTGCACATAGCTGAGTCTGCATGGATTTGGTCAGATAAAGGTATCAGGCAACCTGAAACTCATCATTCAGATTCAGGCATCAGTTTCTGAATTCACTACAAACGCTTGATTAGACCCAGTGTGAGCAAGCTGTAAAAGATATCACAGAATCACAGACTCAGCTGGGATGGAAAAGACCTTTGAGATCATCAAGCCCAACCAAAGAAGTAACACCACCTTGTAACCAGTCCATGGCACTGAGTGCCACATCCAGTCACTTTTAAACACCTCCAGGGATGACTCCACCACCTCCCTGGCCAGCCCATCCCAATGCTAAATCACTCTTTCTGTGACTAACTTCTTCCCAATGTCCAACACAAACCTCCTCTGGCACAGCTTGCACTTTGGTGCTGTTAAACCCCATGCTGTTGTATCCAGCCCATCAATCCAGCCTGTCCAGGTCCCTCTGCAGAGCCCTCCCACCCTCCAAGAGATCAACACTCCCCCACAACTTGGTGTCATCTGCACATTTGCTAACGGCAGGGTGAATCAGCAGGTTCCTTTTTCCAGCTCTGTGCAGAGCACTGGGAATACTGTCAGATTCAAGTCTTCTGTGCTGGTCATCTGCCTGCTCTGTTGCCCGATGCATCACAGAATTTGCAAAGAAACAATCATGGGAAATGGCACTACTTTAGGGTGAGTAATTCTTCAGAGCTTTTAGCCAGTAACCTGTGACTGTTGACTCAACAGATAAATACAGAAGAAGGTAAAATTTTAATCTGAGGATCATGACATGGATCCTATTATAATGAAAATGCCTCTGCTATGAAGTAATAGTAATTCTCTGAAGATGTTATTAGCATGTACTGTATGCTGCAATCATTCCACTCTCACCGCTTCAAGGGCATTTCCCTTGTAGGAGCTGTTTATATTCTTCAAATAGTTTGCAAACAACTTATTTGCTTTGCAAAAGGGAAAGGCAGGAAAAATATTTGCACAGAAAAGAGGGAAAATCTGTGAAGATGATAGAAAGGCCTCTGATAATGCTGAGGAGGTGTGATTCCGTAATAGCGCAATGACATTCTGCTGGCCAGGATTGCTATATGGCAGCAAGATGTATGGACACATCTGGTATGGGAGTCTCAAGAGGTGTGACAAGGCCAAGTGCTGGTGCTGCACCCAGGGCAGGGCAAATCCTGCTCTCAGTCCAGGTGGGGGGATGAACAGATCCAGAGCAGTCAGGCTGAGAAGGACTTGGGGGTGCTGGTGGGTGAGAGGCTGGATGTGAGCTAACCTTGTGCTCTTGCAGCCCAGAAGGCCAAATGTGTCCTGGGCTGCATCAAAAGCACTGTGGGCAGCAGCCAAGGGAGGGGTTTCTGTCCCTCTGAGCCACTCCTCTGAGACCCCATCTGGACTGATGCATCCAGTTCTGGGGTTTCCAGCACAGGAAGAACATGGATCTGCTGGAGTGAATCCAGAGGAGGCACCAAGTTGATGTGAGGACTGGGGCACCTCTCCTATGAGGAAAGGCTGAGAGGATTGTTCAGCCTAGAGAAGACATGGCCTTTGGGTGACCTAATTGTGGCCTTCCAGTACCTGAAGGGAACCTGCAAGAAAGATGGAGACTATTTACAAGGGTAAGTAGTGATAGGACAAGGGGAAATAGCTTCAGACTAAGACTAGGTTTAGAGTAGACTTTAGGAAGAAATTTTTCACTGTGGGGACGGTGAGGCCCTGGCACAGGTTGCCCAGAGAAGGTGTGGCTGCCCCATTTCTGGAAGTGTTCAAGACCAGGATGGATGGAGCTCTGAGCAACCTGGCCTAGTGGAAGGTGTCCCTGCCCATGGAACTAGATGATCTTTAAGATCCCATCCAACTCAAGCCATTCTCTGATTCCAAGATCTATAAATGCGCATGTATATAAATGTAATGTTCCATGCATAAAAGAAAAGAATCCGGTTTTCCCTTCCTTTTGCAAACTGTGAAGCATTCTGCAACTCCATTTTCAGGCTTGTTGGAGCACAGAGTGGTGTGGTCATGGGTACAGATTCATTTATGCTCTTAACACTTTGTCACTTATTGCTGGCCTTCCGAGCTCCCACACCTTTCTCTTCTGGCTGCGGAAGACTCACGAGGACTTTGGGGAAGCTGGTCATAGCACTTCTGTGGACATGATGGCAAATAATAGGTATTTGACCTCAAAAAATCTAGAAACACCTTATAAAGCCTCCTGCATCCTCTTCCACCTCCACTTCCTCCTGGCATGGTGCTGCTGGTGGTGGCACCACACTGAGTTCACATCACCAGTCCAGCAGGACACAGGCTCCGTTTTGGTCATTAAATCTGACCCCAAATCCTGTGCACCAGCAGACTCACAGGGGAATGCAAGAGTGCTGCAGCACTGCCTTCCCAAAGCAAGAGATTGGAGCACTCAGCCTTCCTCTCCCTGGCCTTGTAGGGGCTTTGCTTTCCGAGCAGAGCAAGGAGGAGGTGGCTGCTGGCTTGAGAAGATGGAAGGTGACAGCTTGCTGCAGGAATGTCAGCCTGCTTGAGCCATCTAGAAAATTCCTCCTTTTGTGGTGCCTGTGGCAATGTTGAATAAAGCTCCTCCCTGCAGCAAAAGGGCAGGAGCCATTTGGACTCTGAGGACCACCCGTGTCCCCAGGCCCTGTGTGTGACCCGCAGGAGATGTTCTTTGGCAGCACTGGGACAGGAGCAGCATGGATGTGTTTTCCCACTAAAAACTGGCTCCTGTTGGTATGCTGCCAGTAACACTGAAGAATAAAAGGAGATCTTTTAAGGGATAATATACTTCCTGACGCAGAGCATAATCCAGAGGAGGGTTAGCGCAGAACTTTATCTACAGGCATTTTTGCAAAGCTGATTGAAGTGCACAGCCTCAGCTCAATACCCAGACTTACAATGTATGTCCTCTGTGAGCTTTAATAAACATTTCAGATAAAAATCCTCACAATACACCGAGATAAACACGTCTCTGTGTTTTTATCCTCTGGTGATTTCCGACATAGAGAGACTCACTAGTCCTCTGACAAACCTGATGTGGCTACACGAAGTGACCCAAAGCCAGCCTAAATACAAGGTTTCCACCTATTGATGAGTTTCTAATACTGCTATAGGCTGAGTTTTTTAAACATTAAAATTAATGTAGGTATTCACTGGATGCCAAAGTAGCAGCATATTTTTTGCTCTAATCTCAACCTTGCTATCAAAGCCACATTATATTTGTTGGTATTGATAGAGAAGTTTGTCCAAAAAAAATTAAATTATATATGACCTATTATCATTTTATTATCAGAGAACAAGTCCTTTGTTAAAAAGGAAAAAGGAAAAGAAGGAGACAAAGGAAGCACAGGAAATAAAGATTCTTAAAAGTGGCCAACATTTTCTTGGGAAACAAGCCTTTTTCCATCTCAAAATGGAAATCTGTAGAACATAAACAATATTCTGACCAGGAAGCATATCTCATGAATAGTCTCCACATAGAAAAATAATGCTAGCATTAAATATAAACATGCTGTACATTATGCATACAGAGTAATGCACTATACTTTTGCCTTTCGTTAAATAATCCAAGCCCCAATGAATTATAGATCTGGGGCTTTCTATCGTGGTATAAATAATTACTATTTCAAAATGTGCCCAAGCAGCATCTGAAAGATAGAAATACAGGGATTTGGAAACTATGCTTTTTTGTATTTTAGTGAAGTATACAGTGAACATGCATAATCATTCAAGTGTTCTGGGCACAAGTACTAGGAACTGTCATTAAAGTTCCTGAAACCACTGACCACTCCACAAAAAGCAGAATACTATTCACATTGAGATTCACATTTTAAGCTTCATGGATTTTACCAAGTGAATCCTACCCTGCCATACACACAACTCCAGCAAATGAAATCTTAGGTATGCAACTGTGCAATAAAAACTTATACTTCAGCTGTTTCCATTAAAAAAAAAAAAAAAAATTAGATTACACTGTTACTGTTTTAATACATACTGGTTTTTACTTCATGAGCACAGGCAGCTAAGGTAGTCATGGCCTGAAACAGTGGAATTCTAATTTTGCAATCAGATTTTCAGAGATCAGTTTTTTTTCTTGCTTCTTTCACTCTTTGATGAAACTAAGAAAATCTTAAAAAACATAACGACACAAAACCTTATAATTCTCTTTTATTTGCTCTTTTTTTCCCCCTAAATTTAGAAAGCTTCTTCAAAATACTAATTGCCAATGCTGTGAAAATGTACCCATTTTCAACTCTTGGGATTTCCCTGTTACTGTTTGTTCACAAACTGTCAATACACTTAAATTAAATAACACACACTTAAATTAAATATCAATCTTAAAATGACTAAGAGGGAAAAAAGCACCTCATTTTTTAAGAGATGAAACACATCAGATAAACCTTAGGGCTAATAAATAAGTAGATATGTGCTTTTTATGACCTGCTGACAAAGTTTCACTGCAGAATATTTTAATATGAATTCACACTTT